TCGAAACTATATGCAGAAAGTATTTAGCTAATGAAAGTCATAAAGATGAACTTTAATCTATAGTCATTGTTGAAAAATTTAATTTATGTAACTATGATTTCAGATTGTTATATAGTCTCAAATGCAGACTTGCGTGTACCAATAAACATTCTGTCTGTGAAATGTATCTGCACTGTAAAGGATATTATTTATAAGATTTAATATCTCAGTGAATTTTCTCCAATTTTTCCTGTTATTTTATTCAATAAATTTTCAGCCCCAGTAGCAAAGCCTTCACTAAGTGAGTTTGCATGTTTAACATACCAGATTGTTTTAGTAACAGAACTTTCCAAAGCATAGGTCACTAAGTTTTGGCAATATTCATATCAAAATATCCTCTAGTGTGCAATAACAGTTACATTCTTTTTTATAATCACATTATGATTAAGATTATAAAATAAACAGTAGAAACAAATAATTAAAGAATCAAATTTAATGCAAACTTTTGTGATAAACATTCTGGAATAAAAAGAGGTGACAAAAATAAGTCAATAGAAAACTAAAAATTGTAGAAAAAGTTTGAAAATAATCACTTATATTTTTGATCAATATCACATCTAATAAATGTTTTGGTTTCTTTGAGAAATATATATAGTAACAAGGGGTATTTATGATTCTGATTAACTCTGTCACTATGGGCTCAGTCCCAGGGACCGACCTCGTAAACATTTCGTGCTTGTTATAGTTTTCAAACTATAACTTTAATACAGGAAGTATTTTGCAGATTATCTGTAAACATTACAAAGCTATATTTAGTAAACAAAATATCAGATTTTTTTTGTTAAGTTTTAAGAATTTTTTAAGTAATGATTTGCTTATTCATTTTTTTTTCTATTCGAATACTGACTATCCAACATGCAAATAATTTTGATTTTAAGATTAAAAATACTTCTAAGCATCAGAAAATTATCAAATTTCATATGCAAAATCTTTAAAACCTCCTACTAACCTCCAGTTAATTATCAAGCTAGGTTATGTCTTACCTTACTACATGTAATCTACCATGAAATGAAATGGTTTCCCATATAAATACTTCGCAGAGGGTCAGAAAACCATGCGAGGGACATTCTGAGCTTTTGATTAGTTATTCAAAGACAGAAATAGGTGTACATAAGCAAGCATTTCCAAAAATGGAAAGAGGTGGATGTGGCCACCGTGTTTGATTCAGCAAAATGTAGTGATATCTCAGCAAATAGAAAAGACAGGAGGTTCTTATTCTATATTATAGCTTGTTAATGTCGGTAATTTGAGTTTCTAATTCGTAAGAAACTAAAGAATTTGTATTTGAACATCACAAACATATAATCTGAACCAAAGTTGTATTCAACATACCACGCGACAATAAAAATTGATATTTAGGAATCTTGTTTTAATATTTAGTCCTAAATTAAGAAATTAACTAATGTATAATACTGAAACATGAATGATAATCTACAATGTGATACAAACTTAGTGGCACACATTCATAAAATAGTAGATCAATAAAGTGTTGATTGTATGTCTAGAAACATGATGACATGCCCATTGACCCCTGACCGTGGGAAGATACATAGCGAGCCTGTTGGTGGACCATATTCATATGACATTACGGCAACTGATTATTTAAGTTATCATCATCTTAATGGTTTGGTGTTCTTTTGGGCATACAATGCTTTTGTCAACATCTATATATATATATACATAGCACAATGTGCAGTGTTTCTTATGTTATTTTATCTTAATGTTGAAGAGCTTTGGGTATCTCTGATACACTCTTTGTTACACCCATATAATTATGATGTTTTTTGTGTATTTGGGGATGACAATTTTACTTTCATCAAGTTTGAAGTACCACCATTAAAATTTTTCTGGACCTTAAGGGTATTCATATTCATAATTTATCTATTTCTTTCAGCCAGTCAGAGAATATATACAGTAAAATGTGCTTGTATTTTTCTTGACAGTTAATGGATGTTTTGAATAAGTTACTAATAAACAGATGGTGTCTTTTTATTAATTTTTTTGGGGCAGATGTTAATAAAACTTAAAAGTTTCTTTTAGTTCAGTTTCATCATATTTCTTTCTTCGTCTATATAATAGTGTTTTTCCCTTAAGCATTACTTAGACATGTTAGCATAATTTGATATTAATTATTTCAAATTATTCATTCAAATTATGTGTTTTGTAATTTGAATCTTGGTGTCAAATAAATATTCAAAAACTTTGTGTAACAATTGTTCCATACTAAAGGATGTTTCAACATTAGTATTGTTTTTTGGCACTGAAATGATCTATTAGTAAATTAATATGTTAATCATGCAAGAATACTCACTTGTTGGAAGTTGATACTAGGGCCAAAATGTTTTTAAATAAGTTAAAAGTATGTGAAAAGAAAGTTCACTGGGATTTTTTTGTTTCCTATTAGCATTAATAATATTTTTTCACATTATCTTAATATGACTAATAAGTTGAATACATTGAATAAAAAAAAAACTCCAAATTTGACATTGCATTGTTACAGCCTTTAGTTAAGTATTAAACGAATAGCATTCAAAAATTGATTGGAAACATAATATTACGTTAACCTTTTTTGTGTTGTTAGCAAAACTAAGTGCGCGTTTCATTATACAAAGAAAAGAAGAAAATTTAATCATAAGGCACAGCTGATTAATAATTAAAAATGAATAGTTTTCTGATATGAGAAAAAAAGGTGGTTAACCTTCTAAATTACTGGCTATAGAACTACTATTTTTTTTAAACAAACACCATAGTTATTTTGCACTCCAAAGAAATATTCTAATTTTTCATTGATTAATAGTTATTTTCCAAGTTTATTTTTATTTTTCTATCACAAAATATTTCATTATAAAGCTCCATTTAAGAATTAGAGAAACAAAGCTTGTTTGTTCCTTGAATTTTGGCACAAAAATTTACATAAGATCTTTCTGCACTAGCCATCTCCAATTTTGAAGTGATAGACTAAAGGGATGGCAGTAGTCAACACCATCCACTGCAAGCTACTCCTGTGAGACTGCATAGTGGGAATTTACTGTCACACTTATAATGCAACCAAAGCCTTAAAGTACAGACAGCAGTAACAAGAACACAAACTATAAAACCTTTGCTCCACAAAATTTAAGTTTGTGTCCCCCTAGTCTTACTGTTTTCACCATTAAATATGACAAAAGATGAACGTCTGAGGGGTGGTCCACACGTTTGACCGCAGAATCTCTTCAAAAGGCTGATGAAGAGGAGAAGCAACAGAAAAGGTGAGATGCCAGATTGGATGGGAGGTAACCTGAAACAAACCACATTGGGAAGGGGGACAAGGAAGAAAAGGGCAACGGGATTAAACGACAAATCCAATTGGAAAGGGAGAAAAATCCCTGGAGGAAGAGGGTTGCTATGGGAGAAAGAGACAAGAATGGGAACCCCTGAACAAAGGGCACGCACGGGGCATAGAAATCTATCCGGATAAGGATGAGGGTAAAGATGAGAGGGGGGGGGATAGCAAAAAGAAGGAGTTACCCTCATGAGCTGCTGAGGTCTTGGGAAGGAATGAATGATCCAGACAAAGGAAAAGATAATTGTGGTGGTACAGAGTGTGAGTGACTTCAACAAGGAGGCAATGGGTTCAAACAGAGGTAAAGTAAGGGAATGGAGGACCACGTTAATGTCCCAATCCGGAAGCACTGGACATCTAGGCAGTTGTTGGATCTGGAAAGAAGGGATCAACATGGCAAATACCAGGGAAAGAAAGACCCTGTGGTAATGGGAAAATCAAAAAGTATGGGATAGGGTTGCCCGATAACCTGAAATCTCCCTCTCTAAAGTACAGAATTCAATATAAATTTCTCATTATAACATACATGCTACTAAAGCAAAGTATGATTTTTTAGCCTTCACTCTTATTTGTTTAAAAAGTCATAAACTAGAAAATCAGACCCACTTGCCACATCCTCTCTTTCACAAATTGCTAATAATTCTATCTGATTTTCTATACTATATCATTTATAACCCAATAAAAAGGCAAAGTTTTAAGTTGTCGAATGATGTATAATGCTGTTGTTTTCAGTACAGAGTATTTTCAGTTTTGAAGATACACAAAACATTTTCTTCATGTTCTTCATCTTCACGGCTGGCTTTTGTCTGATGCCTGGTGAGGAGATCCAGTTTCTCACATCGAGTAGCATCTTATTTAGTTCATTCAGTTCATCTTTCATCCATGGCTGTGTATCAGTGAAAATGGAGAGTTTCTCACTCTTGGGCCCTGGCTTGAAGTATTCTGGCTTCTTGTTCTACATTTGCTGGTGTCTCTTAGTTTCTTGCGTTTTGAAAAGGGATCTTTGGTCTCCTCCGGTACATAAATTAGAGAAGGGGAAGACCTAGGATTTTTAAAAATATTTCCTAATAAAATTGTGACGTGCACACTTTGATTTACCCATTGTGAGAGAGTTAACATGAACAAAGATTTATGTGGCCAAACCAATTATTTGTTTTGTTTTTAACATTAACCTTGGCCATCTTGTCCTGCTGTTTGTAAGGGTTAATGTTAAGTCAGCATTGTATATAAATAGGGTCAAAGGTTATTTTTTATTAACATTATACTATCCATATTCTTACTAGTTTCCAAAGCATGATATAAGAAGTACTTTATGTAAATGAAATTTTCAATTCTGATAAATCATAAAATTTGAAGGAAAAATATTGTTCGGTATGGTGTCATCCACTGTTCAGGTGGAAATAAAGACTGGGAAAAGCAACTAATGTGAACAAGCATTATACAATCATCCTTGAATATTTATTGAATGTCCCTTTATGAGCATAAATTACTAAAACCACTTTCCCCCTGAGAAGTGAAGAAAACAAACTGAATAACTGTATGAATGATTATTTATGGCAAAGATCTCTCAATAAGCATTTTGTATCATTTTCTATATATGTAATAAATGTTACATTTTCTTAATGAAATCTCTGATCACCTGAGAACTGACTGTTGACTCATCGTCATCCCAATCATCATCCCATTCATCGACAAGTTCAGATTCTAAGTTTTGGTGTGCCACATATGACAGAGAATCTACAGCAACATTAGCCTCAAGACCTCTAGGAAAAGGTAGAGGTGGAACTTCTGGAGGTGGGCATGAAATAACCTGAAAATTATTTCACTGTTCATTAAATAATGTCAAATTTCCAAAAAAATAAATACACATGTTCATAAAATTTTTAGTACAGTGCTTTCAAAATCTGATTTCTCTCCTCCTTACATTCTGATAATAAATAGTAAATTTGAAGCTCATTATAAATAAAAAAAACAACTACTCTTGTATTAAATTATAGATACATATAGAGAATTTTATTTTCCAGAAAATACAAAAGAAATGAGGATATTACATTATATGAAGTTGCTGTAAATAGAGGCACATTTATCAAATTTACTGCTTAAGTAATAATTAAATTACAGTAAGTCTACTTCTACTAAACACACAAAAGATATGGTCAGATACAGTAGATAAAGTTCGTGTAAATAAAGCTATAGTTATCAACTACACACTACAAGAACTTGTTAAATCACCACAAGTCAACTGCTATTGAAAACACAAAAGAAATGGCCATATACAGTACATGAAGTTGGTGTAAATAAAGCCTGATTTATTAACTTTATTGTACAAGTAATTCTTGAACCATCACAATGTTCCTTAAAGATGCCAAATCAGGGAATATCATGGACAAATTAAAATGAATGTAACAAAAACCATCTGTAGTCTAGCAGTCTACTGGTTTACAATGTTCCATCAGCTTTCATCATTCAACACGGAAGTGTTGCGTCATCGAGATCATGTGATTCTCACGCCCTTTACTTTCTAGAACTATCCTGTACTTTGGCGAATGCTCTAGTGTTTGCTAGATATAGGGTAGTCGGGTATATAAAAGAGGGGAATGGTAATGTGTATATAGACGGTGAGTAATTGAACTGCAGTCAGAAGTATTATTGACGTTCGTTGTTATAGCGTTTGTTGAAGTTGAGTGTATCGGTAAAGTTATATTCGGAAAGAATAAACCAGTTTATTAAGTAAAGACTTGTGTCGTTAAAATTTCGTCGGAACGAAGTTACGGAAAAATCAATTAACAATCGGAGACGTAACAGAAGCTTTAAATAAAAGTTGATTTTTTAAATTTCATTCTCTCTTAATTTTAAGTTATGGTAACAAATTTTAATTTTATACATACTTTTAAGATCCTAAGAAACACAATGCATATCATTTTTATGTACTTGAACACCTTATGTATCTCTTATAACATCACTTTACAAACTTCACATAAACAGTATTTTAAACCAACATTGGTCGTATAATGTTACATGTCAGAGAAAACTATTTCCATGCTTCTTATGTATATGAACAGGTATATTCACATTTTCTACATTTTGGATTTTGAAGGCTGTAAATCAAAGCATGTTACCATTATTATAAATGAAAGCCTTTAGTAAAAATAGATGGAACAATAGTTAAAGATTCCTATGAAGTCACCAGAAAACTAAAAAAATAGCACTAAAAAGCAACTATGTAGTTTCATTGTTTCTATGCATATTAGACTCTAAATCCATTAACATAGTGATAGAAAAAATAAATAAAAATACAAAATAATCTTAATTCAATAAAGCTAAAAGCCATATTTGATTTTTTAGTAACCAACTGATAGGCAATGTTTTTCTTTCAGTCATGCAGATATACATACACATGAGAAATCTGAGATTTTGAGATGAAGAAAATCACTTTGCACATGGACTATTCAAAACAAATAATATATTCATGGACAAATCTTTAGTTTATCACAAATACTTTACTAAAAATATGATTTTTTTATATGTGAAAGACTTATAATGTTAACTGAAAGACTGCCAAATTTTTTGAAGATATACACACTATATTGGATGTTAGAAGTAATAAATCTATAAAGACTTTAAATGAGTACAAAAGAGATCATGTGGTTGGTCAAACTGTTGAGAGAGTTAACTAGTACAGAATGCATCTTTTTCAAAATTATTCCTTTAATTTTTCAAAATTTCTATATGCCAGTTTCATATGCCAATGGCTACAATTTCATAACACTGAGGTCTTGTGTCTGAGATCTCTAGAGAGGAAATACCCAATGCAAGAGTACAAATTGTACAAAGTGATACAAATTTAGGGTTCTCATCCCTATTAATGTTGTCTGGAATAGTTTGTGACATGTGCAGTGTTGGGTTCTTGTACACTGAGTGGTCACAAGTAAATAGACACCTAATTTTTTGTAATGTAACTGATTTATGTTAAC